CTGAAATGACTAACAAATCACTTATGCTTCTGAGCCTGCTGGCTCCTCACTGCATGTTTATAAATGGAAAAACAACATGTAAATGGCAATTGGTGGAAGAATGGCAGGCACAACCCTCATCATATGTGGTGAACTGGGCACTAACAGAAAACATTTGCATGGACGCCTATGGAGATGGCTGGTTTGAGGACATAAATACTAAAATGTGTACTTCAGGCAATCTAGCTGTCCCCCAGATTTGCCCTTTGCAGATTCAATGAGGAGACAACCTTCTAATTTCTTCTGAACCATCTCTTCACTCTCCAGAACTAAATTTGATGAATGTTTCTGAAGCATCCTTCATTGACTGTCTGCAGAATACCACAGCTGAAGAGCAGTTACTTTTCAGTTGCAAACTAAAAGGAATGCACACTGTTAACTCTCAGTGGCTGACTGTTGGGACACATTATTTTATTACAGTAATGGCAAGTGGTCCATCGCTTTGTCAACAGGGACTTCGACTAAATGTGACAGTGAAAGAGCAGTTCTGCCAGGAATATCTGAGTTCAGAATATTGCTCTGGGCATGGTAAACGTCTTACTGAAATTTGGAGCAAGACATACAACTGTCATTGTGAGACTCCATTTTCTGGAAAATACTGCCAGGAAGTTGATGCATGTTCTTATAAACCCTGTAAAAATAATGGCAGTTGCATTAATAAAATAGAAAAATGGAATGAGCAAGGATATGAATGTATCTGTCCCCCACCATTTTGAAGTAAGATGACTTTATAAATAACATAATTCTATTAAAATATGAAAATAAAGTGAATTCATGAACTGCTACTTACAAAAATGCAAAAATTCTTCCTTCAAATATTGTCAAGTTATGCAGTCTTGGAATTAGGATTTCAACAAATGGAGGGAGTATAACAGTTTAGCTCATTACACTCTCTAAGATCGAAAGGACATGACCTACAAACATTCTACTGTTAATTTTGTTTTTATATGGAGGAATATTTTGGCATGCATTTATATTTAATTATATTTCATTGTGTTGGAAGTTGTTTGGAGGTGAAATAAGGAAGGAGACTTCTGAGGCAGGGATGTCAGAGTTTACAAGGAATTTGAAAGGCATCATTGATCTTGGCAAAAACTGCTTAAAATTGAATTAGGAATTAAAATAGAATTGGGGGTATTTTGTCAAATTGTGTATAACTGTTTTGTAGTAACATTTGTCCACTTGCCATGCCCTGAAATATTCTAGGCGCATTCTTCCGTGCCTAGTATTGTGAGGTGATTAACTACATTGAAAAATATTGTATGCAAGGTTATGGTATATGATATAGTAAGACCATGATAGTTTATGTAAGTGGGATTTGACAAACTTGATATAACAGCAAAGGCAAGAAAGCAATAGGTTTTAGAATTTTGTGTGTAGCTTTTGAGAATCTAAACTTTCTTATATGTGGGACCTAAGACAAAGTAAGCAAACAAAGTTGAAATAGACTCATGAATACAGTGAAAAAACTGAGGTTGCCAGATCAGAGGGGGCCAGGGAGCTGATTAAAAAAAATTTAAGGGATTTTAGAAGTACAATTTGGCAGTAACAGAATAATCATGGGGATGTAAAG